GATTATTGACATATTAGAACAAGCTGGGTATGTGGTCTTGTCTTTTGCTGTTGCTGTTGTGGTTGAATGTGCACATATAGTGGCCCTGAAAAGTATTTGAACACTTATTGTAAGTCACAATGTATTACCGTCAATGCACTAGCCACTGAGAGTGCATTTAGTAGTATTTGTTAAGGTTTGCTGAGCTATTAGTACAGTAGCATAATTCAGTAATACTTTATTTTAGGGTGCCCTTGTTTCATGTTACATGTACTTACTATTATAATAACAATATATTATGCATAATTACATGCATTGCAAGTAACCCTAAGCAATGTAACTCTTCCTGCATCGACAGAGATTATAACTCGAATCATGCAGTTTATTGAGGAGAGGTGTGACGTTAGTTTTCTAAAGTTTCCCAAGGTCAAATAGAGACCAGAATATCATGCAGGCTTGGGTAACAGACTTATACCAGTAAGAAATCCCCCAGAACACTGTCAACCCAACACAACATCATGGCAATTCATAAGAATTTTATGTTTTGGCGAATTAGTGGCTAATTCGTAGCACTTATAAGTTATTGTACAATCTGCTCATGCCTCTGTGATGGTTATATTTAGGGGTGGAGTTTGGGATGCCTGTTCTTTCTAAAAATCGTACAGTGTACAAATTCATATGAAATCGCCACCTCGCAAAATAGTTATATTTTCCTGTGAGATCGAAATGATCAACCACACAGCAATGCTCTGCCAACTACCCAGGGGTGTGTTTCCCAAAAGCATTGTTAGTCAATTGTTATAATGTATTACCAATATAGTGTCATGGTTATGTTCTGTTCAGTTCTGTATTTCAGTAGGGGGCAGTAGGGTGGCCTAATGGTTAGAGAGTCGGACTTGTAACCCAAAGGTCGCAGGTTCGAGTCTTGACCTGTCTGAGTTCTTGTCAGTTTCTATACCTATTAGTTAATTATTCAGTTCACCTGCTGTTAATTTTTTCATTACTTCCCTCGTTTATTCTGTGTATATATACTCCCTGTGTCTTTCAGTTCTTTGTCTGATCTCGTCAGTGTTTAGTGGTTGTGTTCCTCGGTATTCTTGATTTAATAAACACTACTTGCATTTCATACTTCCTCGTCTTGTGCATTACTACAGCAACCCAGTTGTGACATAGTTGAACAATTCTGAATTTCCCATAACCATACTCCCAACAAACATTTGCAAATAGCGTGACAAGTTGTGCTGTTGGAAATCCAGCTCTCCACTTAAATAGTTCATGCAAAGCAAAAAAAAAAAAAGCAAGCTATCATGCACAATCTTTCATTCCATATATATGGAGTTGAATGAAAAGTTGGGGAAGTTGTGGCTTAATGGTTAGAGAGTTGGACTCGTAATGCAAAGGTTGTGGGTGCGAGTCTCGTACCAGCAGGGATTGTAGGTGGGGGGAGTGAATGTACAGCGCTCTCTTCCACCTTCAATACCACGACTGAGGTGCCCTTGAGCAAGGCACTGAACCCCCAACTGCTCCCTGGGCTGCCCACTGCTCTGTGTGTGTGTTCACTGCTGTGTGTGTGGGTAAATGCAGAGCACTAATTCCTAGTATGGGTCACCATACTTGGCCTCATGTCACTTCACTATATGCACATTTTAATCTGACATTAATTCAATCTCAAATTGAAATAATTAGTGGAAGTTATTACTCCACCACCACCTGCATAACATCATTAGCAACAGATCTATTGTTGAAACAACGTGGTTCAAACCACAAGTGTGTGACAAAGCTACTACAGATTCAGAAAACAGTCATGGCTAGTTGATTTCTTCAACAATGCATCCTACTTGGTACTTGGGCAGCAGAAACACACCCCGGAACAGTTGATTGTGAGTTTAGTTTGTGCAAACACCACATGCATTTTCTTCATAAAAATCACAATGAGGATTCGCTTTTAGGTGAATACACTGTGAAAACAGTAGTGTCTTCTCTGTGTCTAGCTCTGCTGAAGACTTACTTGCCCTGCTTGTGCTGTCAGTATGAATTGTGCGAGAGAAAACAAACAAAAAAAGCAAGAGTTTTTGTGCAAACAACCCTGTGTTTTTCCTCCCCTCAGCATCGGATTTGAGTCCTGCTGGATTTTTGAGGTAGAGATCCTGACCACAGGTCTCCGAGTAAAGACTTCAAACTGAGAGAGTGTACACAAGAAAAACCAGCAGCCGACATAGAGGAAATTCCAGCGCTGCTCTGATTCAATAGAGAATTCAGAGCTAATATTGCTATTTTTGGGCAAATCTGCACTAAAGTGGACCTGTCACCATGAGGAAGAGAGACCAGTCTTGACGTGCTCCTAGAAACCCTTGCTTTATGGTAACGTTTTTCTTCTCATTTTAGCCTTGTAATTTTGGAAGGGCATCTGGAATCAATCTATTGTCTACTAAGCCATCAAACCATATAAATGTGTATATTCGATCTGAAATCCATTGCAGCTTGGAGTAGTTAGCAGTTTCCTCTGATTTTTGTTTCATGTGAAGTGGATGTGCAATACTGCTGGTTTGCAGACGGAGAGGAAGGTTGAGTTTCATGATTTTACTCTGGTCCTCTTCCAGTGTGCAATGGTAAACGATTTCACTGAGATCTGTGGAAACGAGACATGCCAGCATTGGTAAAAGAGAGGCTGAATGGAGGGAGATTATCCATACAGTGTCCTTATTAGACATGCTCAGCATGCAGATTTGTAATGGTTGACAGAACTGAGAGAAAACAAGCAGAAAGGAGAACTGGAGAGCATCTGAGCTCTGAAGCACAGTTGTACTGCTCCCATCCTAATGACTGTGCTCATTCTATTATAGACAGATCAGGTGCTCCTTTCATCGTGCTGATTTATAACTGATAGACATTTCAATGCTGCAAAAGACAAAGACTTTTCCGGATGAATGAAAATAATGCATGATTAGTTCAGTCAGAAATAATGCATGATTAGTTGGTGGGAAAAGTTCAGTCCTAATTTTGTTAAGGAAGTTTGCAATGCTATTCAGTAACAACGTCAATTTATGCTTAACAGAACATCTCAGCAACTGTGTAACAATCTGGCAAGGTTTCAATGAGGGAATGTATATATTTCAGCATGTAAGTGCATATACGGAATTATTATAGTACTACTGTATTACCTTAGTGGGACCATAGACTTTGAAGAGGTGCCCTGCTTCTGGAGGGCCAGCATGCTGTTGGTTCAGCTCCAGCCCTGATTAAACACACCTGAACTAGCTATCAAGGTCTTTTAGATTACAACAAACATCCGGGCTCATCTGAAAGCTGAAAAATTAATCTGATCTTTTTTCATATCCCACTATCCTGTGCTTTCCAGTCTGGGATTTTGGAAATAAAATCTAAAAGTTGTGCTTGGTAGCCAGTTTGTGTGTTAACGTATGCTTTTGAACAACTTTTTGTTGTAATTTTGCAAGATATTAGAATTGTAGTAATTTTTGATTATCTCCAACAATTTCTATGCTACTTCATAGTGCATTCCAGTCCTCCTGGGAAGTTCGTATTTACGAGTTGACAAGTCGTAATTATGATGCAGGTGCTTTCAAGTCACTTTGGTCGGAACAAGATGGCGATTTATCTTTTCTACATAAAATTCAACCATTGTTTTAAACTCTACATCTACAACATGATGAATAAAGAATGTGCATCGTTGTGTTTTTGCTTTTTTCTGTTTTATTCAAGTCATGAAGGTGATGCAAAACTATAAAATGATGTATAACTTTCATAGTTTTATTGTACATGCAAAAAAAATATTAATTTCAACAAATTTGCCATTAATACAGACGCTGCATATCTATAGTCTTTGGCTGCATCCAACTCGGTAACTCGAGGCTTAAAGAACATTTTGAGTTTCCCACTCATAATAATGACTTGTGGTGGCATTCATGTGTGTTCAACTCATAAATACGATCTATCTGACTTGAACGCATCATTAGAAGTCTGTCCAAAATGAATTTAGGGAGGTACCTTCAGGTGCAAACACTGCCTGCGAAGTCATGGGCTGACAGGGCAGCGAGGCAACAAGTCAGCTGCCTAGGCTTTTAGATGTAGCCTTGGATTACAAAAAACATCCAGACTGTTGTGTTATAGCAGGCTGGAGCTAAACTCTGGAAGAATTTGATCCTCCAGGAGCTGGATTGGGCACCCCTGGTATTACTATAGCACTATGTCCAACAATCCATGGTAGAAATCCTACCTTTTTTGCACCTTTTCCTAAGTATTTTTTTGAATTCCTGGCATAACCATAAATACTGAAAGAGAGGTGCTGCAACTATGAAATTTTGGTAACACTTTAGAATAGGGAAAACCTATTCACTATTAACTACGACTTTTCCCTCAATACATTCCTAATTTGCTGCTTATTAATAGTTAGTAAGGTAGTTGTTAAGTTTAGGTATTGGGTAGGATTAGGGATGTAGAATAGAATAAGGCATTAATATGTGCTTAATTTGTATTAATAAATGGCTAATATTCTAGTAATATGCTTGCTAATAAGCAACTAATTAAGAGACCCTAAAGTAAAGTGTTACCGAAATGTCTCTTGTCCATCACACAACACACACACATGCAGCGCTCTCAGGAAATAAGTAGCAGAACTCTCTCCCGTTTGGTCTTTAAGCAGGACAACACTGATAATCAGTTACTGAGTAACTAATAATGAAGGCTGTTCCCGTTTCTGTTCACTGGGTTTTAAGCATGTCCAGAATGCTGTTCATATTTGAACCTTTCAGTTATGGAACACAGTCTTGGCTTGCTTTACACACCCAGCAGCTTCCTTTGGTCAGACTCAGGAATGCTAGTGACATGATTCTTGCCATATGTCTGCGTCTCACTCGTTTGCTTGGACAGTCGTGGTGACTAATTACTGCTGGTCTAATCACTGCGTTTATGCGGTTGTGTGCCTTTGCAACAGAGAAAGACATAGTTACCGTTATGTATGTTTTGACTGATTTTACATTTTGTGTATATGTGATCTCTGTCAGGTGCGTGGTTTTCCAGAGCCCCGGGTTTGCTGGTTTAGGAAAGGGAAGCTACTGATAGCAGGAGATCATTATTCAATGGAACACAGTGCTCGTGGGAGCTTTAGTCTGGTGGTCCAGGAAGTCCAGGATGACGATGGAGGACGGTACACCTGTGAAGCTGTCAATGATGCTGGGAGCTGCCAGGTCACAGTGGAGATCATTGTGGAAGGTAAAGCATTACCTTGATGGGACTGAGGTTTATCTTGAGTGGGTGCTCTAGAAAGATCAGGGAAAATGATTCATGTTAGGATTGTAAAATAATCTATGCCGTAGACTAAGTAATAAATAAATACAGTACAAATAAGATAACACATTTTCAGAGAATATATGTTGATTTAAGTTTATTTGTTGTACCTCATTGGAAAATATGCGTGTTAAAGGACAAGTTTTTTTTTTTCATTATGCACATTTGCATAATGCCTACCTACTGGCTGCTTTGGCAACTGTTTTTTCTCTGTTAGGGCAAACAAACAAATAAATAAATAAACAAGCAAGCATTTTATAGTCCTATACTGATATGAATAATCTCAGAGTCAGTACAGGAATTACAAATTACATCACACTGCTGCAGAAACCCTGTAAATATTACAGTGTAGAATAAACACAACTTTGCAGTGTGCCCTGCAATGCATATACTCAAAAAGTTTACATTACAGCGTATTCTGCATTTCTCATTTTACACTCTTTTTGCCTACAGTAAACATATCCACAGTCAGAGATGCAGCACATCTGTACTGATTTATAGACTAATAAACGCTTAATAAACTTTCTCCGGCATACTTCACAAAAACACAAACATATGGAGCTATTCAAGTATTTTACAACAAGCAGCAGATAATAGCAGCCATGTTTACGAAGGAAGGAGAAACAGAAAAAGAAGAGTGGGGAATATCTGCTTTTTATGTTTCTAATGAATTATGTGTGTTTGTCGATAAGTGTATACTTTATATTTAGAGTATAATGAATATCCTTTCTCATCCCACACAGGAAATGCAGGGAAAAAATACAGTCTTCCTTCCTCCAACAGAGCAGGGTGAGATACATACTGCCTGAAAAAAGGAAAGTGCATGCATGAATATGAAATACACAACATACCATATCATTTTGGTAATGAGTATACCCTGTTAAACCTTGATTGATTGATTGATTTGATTTGATTGATTGATTGATTGATTGATTGATGGTACTGTCATTGCTGATTTGATTTGATGATTTGCAATGATTCATGTACGGTGGCAGAGAAGTGCAAAGCAAATCACAATTCTGAAAACAAAATATCAAATTACAAACGCAAATGCAAGTCTAAAAAACAAAATAACAATTCAGAAAGCACAACAACAATTCAGAAAACACAATGACAAATCCGAAAACAAATTAACAAGTCAGAAAACACAACGACAAATCAGACAAACTGGAAGAGGTAGGTATAGTTTGAGACAGCGCCATTGGTTTGGGATTACTCACCGCTGACTGGACGAGACATCTGTCAATCAACGTATACAAAGAAGAACCAGCCGAAGAACAGCAGAGTCGTGGTAGAAAGTGCGGAGATGGTATTAAAGTAGCTCAGTTTAAATGTACTGTATGAACTACCCTTACTATGGAATAAAAAATACGGAGTGTATATTTACATTTAGTTAAAAGTGTCTGTAAAGCATCAGCTCCAGTGGTGCAGATGGATAAGCGCTTGTTGTTGGCTTTTTGATATGATCGATCCGGGTTCGATCCCGCCTTTTGCCAACATTTTTTTTTCTCCCTTTCGGATTTGTCATTGTGTTTTCTGACTTGTTATAATGTTTTCTGAATTGTTATTTTATTTTTTAGACTTGCATTTGCATTTGTAATTTGTTATTTTGTTTTCAGAATTGTGATTTGTTTTGCACTTCTCGGCAACCGTATTCATGAGATGACAACTACCGTCACAAAATAAGTTTTGTTTTGTTTTGTTTTGTTTTGTTCCAAAACAATTGCTTTTGTGATTAATCTTGGAGTTGGTCGGTAAAAGAAAAACAAAAAAAAATCTGACACAAATTGATAAGATGATATTCACATATTTAATTAACATTTTGGCCTTTGCTGCCAGCCACCTGTAGATATAATTAGACCAAATTCACAAGAAACAGCATAATTAACTGTCACCGTTCCACCTGTGGGACGCTTGGCACTCTTTTTTTTGTTTTTTTCTCTATCAAATCTTTTAGTAATTATCATAAATCATATATCATTTGAGAGCTTAGAAGCCCAAGATTCATCCATGTGTGAAAACATGGAAATGGTATTTTAAAATCTTTTGGCGGTCTCCTCGCCCTTAGTGGGTGGCGTCAAGTGTCATATTACAAAATGCATTACGCTCTTTTACAATCAAAACTTTTTATAATCTTGACAAGACTTTGGTCTGAGTCTTAGGATTCCATATTTGGTGGTTATTTTGAGATAGAAGTAATATTGACAGAGAAATCTACACATTTGTGAAAGAAAAATGCATTAAAAAATGCACCCGGTGGCTATTTGTGGTATAACACCCTAGATAAACTCTCACAGGAACCTCAATTTTTTTCATATCAACTTCAAATTTGGAACATAACTTATTTAGATATAAGGCTTTAATTTTATACCAATTTTAGAGTAAAACCTATAATGTAAAATATTGATTATATATAAAATATAATAAAATTAATATAGTGTATTTTCTTTACAATAAATTTAAACTACCATAACTTTTTGATACTTGAATTTTTTTTTTAATTCCACTTTTGCGATAATCTGCTGATTTTCTTCTTTAAAAAGAGACCAAACTTATGTCTGTATTCCAAAGTGTTCATAAATTACAACAATTTAAGTTTGGATAGTGCACCTACATGCCTATTTAAAAAAAATGGGGGGTGACAGTTGTAATAAATTTGTATTCCTGGGTTTAGTCTTCTGAATTACTAGTGTTACTCATGTTTTCTCTCTTCTGTCGGCAGTGGATCTCTGGGTGTTCCTGCAGTAGAGAACAGACCCAGTATCTGGGGTGAAAGCCCCCCAAAGTTTGTGGCTAAACCTTCTCGCCTGTATCTCAAAGTGGGACAGAGCGGCAAATTCTCAGCCAAGATCACGGGACGACCCCAGCCACTGGTGCAGTGGTATAAGGTGAGGCTTCTGAAGTCACAGGTTTGGTCATAGTATGTTTCTCCACTGCGTTTCCTCTTTCAGGGAGCAGAGACGATCCAGCAGTCAGATCACTTTAACATGTTTGAGAGGTCAGGAATGCATTTCCTGGAGATACGCCACATGTGCTCAGAGGACGCTGGTGTCTACAGCTGTCTGGTGGCCAACAGTGCTGGGAAAGCCTCTGCAGCTGCTGAACTCATTGCTCAAGGTAACACAGAAGGATATAGACTGATAGAGAAACAGATAAGGATGAGCAGCAATTTCTCTAGGGGCTGTGAATAAAAACTGTTGCTCTCTTTTGCAAAGTGTTTTGTAAATGAAGAATTAATTCTCATTATTTCAGCTCACAATTTATTGCAACTTTATTTCTCATATTTTGAAAAGAGTTGTTTGCATATTACATCTCACAGTTGCAACCAGAGAGGGCCGCCAATAAGGCTGGTGCCTCGGGTCCTTGTTGGACCATAATCCATCTTTGGGAACAGATGTCAGAGCAATAACAACAGTATATGGGTTTCATTAATGTCTTAATGTTATTCAGTTCAGATTCTGAAGTTTTCATAGTATATTCTGTTGTTCTTTTGCAGATGGAGACGCTGAAACAGTCACGTAAGTAAAGAGCTTTTATTTAGTCCTTTTATTTACAGCTTGCAGTTATAAAGTGACAACAAAATGCCAAATTTAAAAGACAAGACAGAATTTACACACCATATTATTTTTTTTCATTTAAAGTCTAAAGAAATTAACTGTACTTCTGATAAATATTTCAAAAATCTTCTATGTCTATAGTGCACAGTTTGAAAACTCTCCAAGCTCTAGTGCATCTTTACAGTCAGCAAAGATTGTTCACTTGATTGTTCATGATCTTTCTTTCCATAGCATGCCCAAACCATCTCAAGATCTCTCTACACAATCTGTGGTCAAGCACAGCACCAACGGTCTGGACACTGAACAGAAAACGTCTAGCACATCCGTCCGAACTGCAACCGCAGAGACAAGCGCACCGCTGTCCGCTGCTACTGTAGCCAGTGTTCATTCTGTGACCAGAACAGAGGCACCGAAAATAACATCATCACCATCCTCACAACCTATCAGCAAGTCCACAGATGGAAGATCAGCAGCTGGTCAAAAGACATCACACTTTGTGAAGGAAAGAAGTCAGAACATTGTAAAGAAAGAGTCGCATGGCATCAGAAGAGCTTGGGATTCGTACAGAGCTCCAGAAGAGATTCCTGAAACATCACAGCGGGAGTCGAGCAGAGACGTTCGCCAGGAAACCAAAGAGAGCAAAACAGACTTTCTAGAAACTCCACCCAGTTTTGAATCCCAGCCTGAGAGCCAAGAGGTTGTGCAGGGTGAAAAGGTCACGTTCAGATGCCAAGGTGAGTTAGAATCAGCTATAGAGTTGCAGGTTATTTAGTTCTGGTCTTGATGCCGATTGGTCAGTATACAGCTAAAAATCACTCTAAAATCAGTCTAAATCAGTGCACAGCAGCAGCAGATCATAACCTCTGGCCAGAGGATGAGACTTAATGAATTCCTTTGTATAACGTGCGCCAAATTTGTATTAAATATGCAATACAATTACTTTTAAGTACATTTTAAAACACTGTGTTTTAATATAAATGTAAAGAATGATGCTTATTTTGATGGGTTAACTAAATATATTAAATCACAAAGTAGTTGATTATAATTTTATCTGTAGTGTGTTATTCCAATTTAATATATTTTAAATGTAATAAATTGCAACTTCATCATTACAAATGTATAGTTATAAATATATTTAAATACATGGCATAGAAATAACATTAAAGTATATTTTAACCTTAACCTTAAATGCTAGTACATTCAGTAGTTCACTTTAACCATATTTCAAAGACAATAGAAGTAATTATTAAATTAAATGCACTGTAAAGTTGGGTCAAATTTTTTTTTTTCTAATATATATATATATATATATATATATTTCAGAAAATGTTTGCCTTACAGAGATATTTTACCATGATTATGTGACAGGGGAAACAAATGTATACAAATGAAACATTTACATTTAAATTTTGAATAAAAAATGAAAGAAGAACTGCAGATGTTGTGGGAAGTTGTGTTACTTTGTATGGCAGATTGAGGTAAGTGTTGTGCTCTCTCAGTGTCTGGGTCTCCAGTGCCGACAGTGAGCTGGCTGAAGGATGGAGCTCCTCTGAGACAGAGATCAGGCGTCAGCACACGACAGGAGGGCAGTCTGCATGTCCTGTGTCTGGAGAGCGCTCACATAACTGACACGGGACAGTACGGCTGCACTGCTGCCAACAAAAGAGGAAAGACTGCGGCCCACTGCAGCCTGACTGTCAAACGTAAGAACTTTATACATCTACGTTCATGGATTGCCATTTAAGTACAACAATAAAAATGACAATTGATTGTTCATTATAAGGTAACATGTTAAGCAGTGACATCTCTGTCCTGTAGTGTGACATGTTATTAGATTTTTCAAATTCTTCTATTATTTTTCTATATACATTTTATAAGTTCATATTTGTTCAGAGACTATACTCAATTATTTTATTTTTGCAAAGAAGTTACAGCTCTTTGTTTTTGAGGAAACTGCAATACATCTTTTTAGAGATCTTTTGATGAATATAATGCTCAAAAGAACTGCATTTATTTGAAACATAACTTTGGTTAGAAACATTTTCCATGCCTTCACTGATTATTTTGATCAGTTTAATGTATGTTTAAAAAAAAAAATAATAATAATAATAATTTATGGACACTATTTTTCAACAAGCATTTAATAATAATAATAATAATAATAATAAT